CACTTCAGGTATTATGACTTGTACACTTGGTTGGAATTGAATTCCGGGAAATTCGAAGTTGATTTGGAGAAAGAATTCTCATTTCAGAAGCTTTAAGTTGAAATAATTGAATAAGATTGAATTTTTGAGTAAACGACCTCGGAATCAGGATTCGAAGGTTCCAGCAGGTTCGTACGATGATTTTGGACTTGGGCATATGTTCGGATCGGGATTTGGAAGACCCGGGAATGTTTCAGCACCTATTGTGGAAGTTGGCATTTTCTAAAGAAATTCATAAGTTTGGGTTGAAGTGCATATCAGTGTTATCGATGTCCGTTTGGGATTCCAAGTCTGGGAATAGCTCCATATGGTGATTCTGGTGTTGGGAGCGCGATCGAAAGGGAATTCAGAGGTCAGTGGGTCATTTTGGAGTGATTTGGCTAAAGTTAGAAATTTGAAGGTTTTTGAGAAGTTTGACCGAGAGTTGACTTTTTGATATCGGGGTCGGATTCCGATTCCGGAAGTTTGAATAGGTCCGTAATGTTGAATGTGACTTGTGTGCAAAATTTAAAGTCATTCCAGATTGATTTTGTATGTTTCGGCGCAAAATATAGAAGTTGGATGATTTGAAAACTCATAATTCGATTCGATGCGCGATTCATGATTTCGATGTTGTTAGATGTGATTTGAGGCCTCGAGCGAGTTCGTATCATATTATCGGACATGTTGGTATAATTGTTTAAGGTCCCTAGGGCCTCGGGTGGATTTCGGAAGGTTAACGAGATGGATTTCGGACAAAGAAAGCTGCTAAAATTCTGTTGCAGAAGTTGTTCACCAGAAAATTTCTGATGCGAGGAGTCGAGTTTGGAAGCTCATATCTTGCAATCTATAAGGAATCAGAAAATTTGAAAAACATGAAAGTTTTATCCCTTGCATTCTAGTTTCCAGAATGTTAAACCATTCATGATTTGGACATTTTATCAGAAAGTTATGATCGCTTGAAGATGGCTAGTGGAGCAATTTTGATAGAATTTTCTGATGCATGGAGCCAACTTTAGAAGCTCATATCTCGAAATATATAAAGTATTATATGATTTACAACCAATCAAATGAAATATCTTCGAGTCTAGTTTCTAAATATTCAAACCGTTTGTCATTTGGATATTTCCACAAGGAGATATGGGCGTTTTAACATAAGGTGTACAACAGATGAAAATGGTACTAGGATGTACAACCTGCACAACACAAGGTACAACTCGAAGAAGCCTGGGCAGATTGTTTTAAACACGAGTTTTAGCCCATTTCTTTCATTTAGTTTAGACGATTTTGGAGAGCTCAAGGAGAGATTTTCACCAAGCAACACTAGATAAGTGATTTCTTCCTATTTTTGAGTTAAATATGTGATCTTACATGGATTTAGACATGAAAATCAGTAGAAAAAGGTGGTGTTAGGGTTTGAGATTATGAGACCTTCTAGGGATGACTTGAGGGGTCAAACGAACTCCGATTTTCGAGTTCTTTATGTGTACGGACTCGTGAGAAGATGAAGAACATTTTGGTATAAAGTTTGTCCAGTTCCGGGACGCGAGCCCGGGGGTCGGGTTTTGACTGATTTTGGATTTTGTGCTTAAAATTGATATTTTTCAATTGGAATTCATTCGTTTAGCATAATTTGATTATAAAAATCTGAACTTGGTAGATTTCGAGCACTGGGTAGTTGTGTCGAGAGGCAAGCGTGTTGAAGAGTAGCTTTTCGGGCTAGTTCGAGATGAGTAATGATTTTTAATGTTGTTCTGAGGGTATGAAACACCGGATTGCACAGCGTCGTGCTATATTGAGGTGAAACACACGCTAGATGATGAGCGTGGGGTCGTTCACCATTGGGAATTGTGACATAGTCCATCCCGAATGACTATTTTTGTGTATAATTGGCAGCTAATTGTTTGATATTATTATACTTTGGGCTAAAAGCCATATTTGGGATTTGTGCCAACTGTTTGAACCCTTAGGGGATTGTTAATGATATTTTCCTCACTGTTTGATTTCATACTTGTGCTCAGTCATGCCAGATCTTTCAATATTTTCAAAACTCAGCTATGTTATTCTGTTTTAAACACATTAATTGATATTTTCAAAGATATTTGAGCCGAGCTTCATATTTTACTGATGCCCGAAGGGCTTATGAGATTCTAACTGAGTAAGGCCGAGGGCCTGTATTGTGAGGATACTTTTGGGTTGGGCTGCACGCCGCAGCAGTGATATATTGATTATGATAATGAGGCCGAGGGCCTGAGGTTGTGCGCCACGAGGTGGCTTGATATTGATATGAGGTCGAGAGCATGTTTATGATGCCACGAGATGGCTTGATGTTGCGCTTTGGCCGTAAGGGGTCCCTCCAGCAGTCTGTACACCCCTAATGAGCGCGAGTACCCATTGTGATGTGAGGTATAGCCCGAGGGGCTGGTATGGTTCTGAGATATAGCCCGAGGGGCTGGTATTGTTCTGAGATATTGCCCGAGGGGCGGATTTGTTGACATTGTGCCCGAGGGGCGAACCTTTATGTGCTTATCTTTCTTATTACCTGTCATGTACCTGTTTGATTGTGTAATTATACCGGAGGGGCGGATCTTCTATGCTTATATGTTCTAACTGCTTGCATTCAATTGCTTAACTGTTGAAAAGCCATTTTTGAACAAGTTTAAACTGAGCTAAGGTGCTTAAGAGATTTCACAGCTTCATTGCTTTCTTACTGGTTTTGTACTGCTTCTATACAGCATGTTGATGTACTCTTTATGATTTCCTATCACTCAGTCTTCATTTGTTTTTATTACTCACTGAGTTGGAAGTACTCACTTTACTCCCTGCACCTTGTGTGTATATTTAGGTATCTCTGAACCTGGTAGCTGGTATTGGTTGCTTAGAGGCAGAGTCATCGGAGTTTAGCAAGGTAGTTGGCCGACGTTCGCAGCACTACTTTTCTCCCTCTTGATTTCATTAGACTGTATTTAGTACATTTTTGACTCTAGTTGTATTTGGACCTTAGTAGATGCTCATGACTACTGACACCCCGGTATCGGGCTGTATTGGGTTTGTTTTTCCGTAAATTATACTGTTAACTGCTTATTTTTGAGATTTTATCATGTTTACTACTTAATACTTATTATTTTAATGCTTAAGATTGGAATGGGAATGTGTCGGATGGCCTTGTCTTCACAAGAGGCGCCATCACGACCGGGTCCGAGTTTAGGGTCGTGACATCGTTAAACTTCCGGATGATTCAGGATTGATTTGGAAGAATAATTACTGTTTTAGAAGCTAAGTGAAAAAAGTTGACCGGAGTTTTGCTTTTGTGTAAAGGACTCTGCAATGTTGTTTTGATGATTTTAGTAGCTTCGTATGGTTATTTTGTACTTAGGCGTATGTTCGAATTTGGATTTGGAGGTCCGTAGGTTGATTGGATACATTTTGGCGAGAATTGAAAATTTGAAGGCTTGGAAGGTTAAGAGGTTTGACAGGGAGTTGACTTGTTGGATATCGGGCTTGGATTGCAATCCCTAGAGTTGGAATAGCTTCGTTATGTCATTTGAGACTTGCATGCAAAAGGGTTATTCCAGATTGATTTGATATGATTCGGCATGAGTTTTTGAAGTTGAATGTTCATAAGTTCTTTAAGTTTTATTTGAGGCGCGATTCATAGTTTTGATGTTGTTTGACTTTATTTGAGGCCTCGAGCAGGTCCGTGTTATGTTATGAAACTTATTGGTAAGTTTGGACTGGGTCCGGGATGTGTTGCGGATGAGTCGCGGATCATTTTGGAAACTTGATGTATTGCTCAAGAGGCTGGTTACTAATAACATCGCACATGCGGATGAAGAGTCGTAGATGCGGTGCCACAGAAGTGGCCAGGCAAGCGTAGGTGCGGAGTTTTGTTGGAAGGATGGGGATCGCACCTGCGGAAAATGTAGCGTAGAAGCGCATTTTCTGTCGTAGAAGCGACATTGGCTCAGGTACCAGATTATTGGCCACAGAAGCGGGCGCCGTAGAAGTGACCTGCTTACTGCAATAGGAGGATTTTCGGGGCAGAAATATTTATTCGTGGGTTAGGCCAATTTTATCATATTTTGAGTTGTAGACTTTAGATTTGGGCGATTTTGGAGGGGTTCGTCATGTGTTGGTTTGGGGTAAGCTTTCTTTACTCGGATTCGACTTTATTTTATGTATCTGCATTCCGGTTTATCACTATCTCTTGTTCATGGTAGCTTTAAACTTTTGAATGGTCTATTTATGTATATTTTAACAAATGATGTACTTTATTAAATATCAGCTTTTGTAAATTAAAAAATCTTAGAAGGTCATGATTTGTACTACCATATTTATTTATATTATTAATTTCATTTAAATTGGATATCGTTATTTTGGCTTACCTAGCGGGTTAGGTTAGGTGCTATCACGACTAGTTGGATTTTGGCTCGTGACACCTTAAAATGTACTTGAACATATATTTGAGCGTGTGGACCAGTTTCTCTGTGGTTGGTTGGTGAAGGCACATGATTTGTAAAGGATTGGCAGAGACCTTGATTTTTGAGTTGGCACAAAGAGTGAGTGATAGTGTGGATTGCATTAGAGTCATGTTTTGAGATGATCATGTTAGAAAAAGCCACATGAATATTTTAAATGATCTTGGCATTAGTTTAAAACTTGGGAAAAGGTATGAAGAGTGCATATGCTGGGTTTTAAATATTGATATAAACCATTGTCATTGGTGAGATAGTTGAGCAATGAACTTGTTGGTAATAATAAAATTATGTACTTACATTACTTTTTTTAGAGGTGAAAATTCATTTCTTGATTTCAGCCGGAGAATGGATCTCATGGCGTCCTATTTTAGTTAGTAAATTAATTTTAATTTAACACCAGCACAACCAAGAAAAATCCTAAAAAACTGGAAATCATCCAACTTTTAAGGAAAATTCTCCAACTAAATTTTTCCAAAAATACCTATAAATAGAAGAATCAATAGCATAACTAAATCGTCCCAAAAAAAGAAACACAAAGCAACAAGCACATCAAAAAAGTAATAACAAGAAAAAACCGAGAAGCGAAACGCCAAAATAATTCAAAACAAATTCTTAAAAATGGAATCATCAAAGAAGCTTGTTGCAGTGTTTCTTGTGTGCATGGTTATGTTATCTTCTGTGCATGTTTCAAAGGCTCATGAACAAGAAAAAAGTAACGCAGAAATGTTTAAAGAATCTGTTGCGAGGGTTACCGCTGAATATACAATTTGCTTCAACGAATGTGAAAAGGAATGTATTGATCAAGGTCTTGGATACACTCATTGTGAGATGAAGTGTGACAGCGACTGCAATGCCAAGTTGCTAAAAGGTATGTACACTAACAATGTAACTTTAATACGTGCTAAGTAGATCGCTACAAAAAATGATCGAAAAAGGCTAAATATATTGTTGGACTATCGACATGTTGGTTATGATTTTTACTAAATGAGTTATATGTTTGAACGTTAAAAGAAATTTTACGCTACTGTTATAGTAAATCAATAGTTATAACATGTTAGTTACCATTTTTATTCGATTATAGATATTAATGTTTATCGTAGAAATTTATATATAGTAATTACTTTATAAATATCTAGATTGTATAAATCTATCTTTTATAATATTCATATATAAAACTAAAAATGATTTTTACCATGTTATCACATTAATGTTTTTCATAAAATTTAACTAATTACCTTATAAATGCATGATTGTATAAATGTACTTTTTTATTTTCACCCCATAGAACGTCTAAATTAAACCCAATTTTTCCTAATTGTACGGTCCTTTCTACAATCTTCACTTTTTTTCTTTAATTCAAATATATAGTTGTTGATTATTCTTCCGTTTTCTAATACGTTATTCTGTATAATTTTCTCAGAGAAATTCGAGCAATTGAAGAATTTGAAGCCTTGAAGATGGACCAAAAGATGCAAAAATAGCAAATATTTATGGAAAAAATAATAAAATAGTGGCTTTTCATTTCTACTAATTAATTAATTCATTCATTCATTTCTTTGCCACTGTACTTGTAATTTTCATGAATTAACAATATTTTTGCTTTTTCAAGTCAACCGCAACAAATTTCTAAATTTTATTTCATATCTTTTTAATCTTCTTGTAATGAAAAGATCGGTCATTTTAAGAGTTGTGGCCTCGTTCCCCCATTTAATGCTCCTTTTATGCTTTACAATTGTTATATCACTTGCCGGGCTAGTCGGTTTGGGTCCGGAGGGATTTCAGAATGAATTGAGACACTTAGTCTCAAGATTGCAAGCTCAAGTTGAAATGATTAACCCGATATTGACTTATTTGTATATGACTCCGGCATGGAGTTTTGATGATTACATTAGCCAAAGAGAAAGTATGTGGAAGAATGGATCTCATGGTATCGTATTTTCAGTTAGTAAATTAACCTTAATTTAACACAAGCACAACCAAGAAAAATCCTACAAAACTGGAAATCATCCAACTTTTAAGGCAAATCTCCAACAAAAAAAGTTTCCAAAAATACCTATAAAGAGCAGAATCAATAGCGTAACCAAATCTTCCCAAATAAGAAACATAAAGCAACAAACACATCAAAAAAAAGTAATATCAAGAAAAAAGCGAGAAGCGAAACGCCAAAATAATTCAAAACAAATTCTAAAAAATGGAATCATCAAAGAAGCTTGTTGCAGTATTTCTTGTGTGCATGGTTATGCTATCATCATCTGTGCATGTCTAGAAGGCTCATGAACAAGAAAAAAGTAACGCAGAAATGTCTAAAGAAGCTGTTGTAAAGGTTACGCTGAATATATAGCTTGCTTCAACGAATGTGAAAATGCATATATATATATATGTAACGATCCGGCCTGTCGTTTCAAGAGCAATAGCCCTGTTCCCCTTTTTTCTACTTCTTTTGTGTTCTACAGTTGTACCTCTACTTACCCGGTCAGTTGGTTTGGGTCCGGAGTGGTTTTGGAGTGAATTGAGATAATTAGTCTCCTAGTTGGAAGCTTAAGTTGGAAAAGTTGACCGGATGCGGACTTATGTGTAAACAACTTTGGATTTGAACTTTATGGTCCCGTTAGCTCTATCAGGTGATTTTGGATTTAGGAGCGCATTCGAAATGTGACTTAGAGGTCCGTAGTAGAATAAGGCTTGAATTGACGGAAGTTAGAATTTTTGCGATTTTGCCCGGCAGTTGAAATTTTGATATCGGGGTCGGAAGTTAAAGTAGGTTCTTGGTGTCATTTCTGATGTGTGTGCTAAATTTGAGGTCATTCGGACGTGGTTTGGTAGATTCGTCATCGTTTGTGGAATTCAGAAGTTTAGAAGTTCTTAGGCTTGAATCCGGAGTTAATTTGTTGTTTGGATGTTATTTTGAGTGACTCGAAGGTCCGACTAAGTTCGTATGATAATATGAGACGTGTTGGTATGTTTGGTTGAGGTCTGGAGGGCCTCGGGTTAATTTCGAGTGACTTACGGAACAAGTTTGGAAAGTGGTAGGCTGCGGAAGTTGAACTCAGCTGTCATAATCGTACCTGCGGAGTGGAAACCGCAGGTGCGAGCCCGCAGAAGCGGAGAAGGAGCCACAGAAGAAGCCAAGGGTGATCTGGGCAAAGGACGTAGGTGCGATGGCGTTCCCGCACCTGCGGTGTTCGCAGAAGCGGACCCAAGGGCGCAGGTGCGAGTTCGGACCGCAAAAGCGAGATGGTTTTCGCACATGCGGAAGCGCAGATGCGGTCTTGAGGCCGCAGGAGAGAGGTAAGGATTTTTAAGTGAAATGGGCACCTGCGATGGGTTTTCCGCAGGTGTGGCATCACAGAAGAGACATAGGGAACGCATGTGCGATATAGCTGAGCGGAAACATATAAAAGCGGGACTTTGAGATTTTTCACATTTTCACATTTTGGAACTCGGATTTTCGAGGATTTTGAAGAGGGTTTTGAAGGGATTACTGAGGTAAGGCCTTGTGCTTATTTATTTTCAATAATGGTGTTTCCCCACTGATTTTCAACCTAGTTGGTGAGTTTTTGACGTGAAATTTGGCAGATTAGGGCTTGAGAATTGGAAAGTGCATTTTGGCTCTTTGGAGGGGAAAATGATGTCGGATTTTGATGAATTTAGTATTGTTAGACTAGTGAGTGAATTGACTTTAGGATTTTGTGACTTTTGTTGGGTTTCGAGACGTGGGCCCGGGGTGGCCGGTTTGAGCCGATATCGGATATTGGCTATAATTTGGTGATTTCTTGTGAAAGTGATTCCTTTAGCCTATATTGATCGTATTGTATTGTTTGTGGCTAGATTCGGGACGTTTGGAGGCTGATTCGAGAGGCAAAGGAACTGCGCTGTAGGATTTTGCTCGGATTGAGGTAAGTAACAATTGTAAATCTGGTCCAGAGGGTATGAAACCTCGAATTTTGTGTCGTATGACTATTTTCGATGTGACACACATGCTAGGTGACGGGCATGTGGGCATGCACTGTAGGGATAGTGACTTTGTCCGTCCCGTGAGATTGTAGAATCGATTAGCCTATTGTTTTACTACGTGTTCCCTATGCTTTTATAGAAATTGACTGCACTTCATGTTAGAATTCATGTTTAGGCCTTATGTTATCACTGTTGAGACCCTTGAGGTCATGTACTTGCTGGATTAACTGCTATTTGCTGTTTTGTTCTCACTCATGATATTACTTGCGCATTACACCTCCATCCCTTCCTATTCATCATTGATACATGTTATTATCTCTATTTAGGCTAAATTATATGCTTTCTGAGAGCGCGGGGGGACTTGTGAGGTTGGTGCTGAGATAGGGCCTAAGTGTTGAGATATATAAGTGTATATGGATCGGGTTGCACACCGTAGCGAGCCTCAGGGCTATATATGTATATATATTGGATCGGGTTGTATGCCGCAATGAGCCTTATGGCTGTTATATGTTGGATCGGGATGCACACCACAATGATATAGTGCCTTCGCTGAAGGAGCGCCTCCGGAGTGTGCACACCCCCAGTTAGCGCAGGTACCTATTGAGTACGATTACTGAGGGCTGAGAGTCGAGTGACTGAGCTGTTGAGATGAGATGGGTGACTGTGGTCATGAGAGACTATACTTGCTTTAAATTATTTGTTGCACTTAGCTGTTATCTGTCATTGTTGTGCAAATTTCCGGAAGACTTGTTATCTGTTTTACTTGGGCACAAACCAATTTGACTAAGCTACTAAATTTGAAAGAATTACTGTTCCTTATTTGAAATTTATTAAAATAAATTGTATTTGTATAGCTCGTCACTGCTTCTCAATTCCTTATTTATTTCTGTTACTTACTGAGTTGCAAGTACTCACGTTACTCCCTGCAACTTGTGTGCAGATTCAGGTGATACCAGTCGCGGTGGTCGTTGAGTTCGTGCACGGTAGACTATTGGAGACATAAGAGGTAGTTGCCAGCGTTCACATCCCTTATCTCTCCCTCCATTGTTATCTTTTCTTTCTATTTTTGGCCTACGTGGACAATTGTAAACTCTAATTGTAGACTGATTTTACATGCTCATGACTTAGTGATACCCCGATACGGGCTATCCTTTCTGCATTTTTATTTTGACTTCAACTCTTTTATGATGTTTCTATTATGAACACCTTTGACTTAACTGTAACGACTCGGCCGACCGTTTCATGAGTTGCCGCTCCGTTTTCCCCATTTCTGCTTCTTATTGTCTTGCTCGGCTGTATTATGTGTTATCGGGTTGGTTGGCTCGGGTTCGGAGAGGTTTTGGTAAGGTTTGAGACACTTAGTCTCTTTTGAAAAAACTTAAGTTGGAAAAGTCAACCGGATGTTGACTTATGTGAAATAGGGCTCGGATGTGAATTCCGATGATTCGGATAGCTTCGGGAGGTGATTTGGGACTTAGGAGTGTGATCGCAATGTGTTTTGGAGGTCCGAGATGGCTTTAGGCTTGAATTGGCAAAAATGGATTTTTGGGATCCGGTTGATAGGTGAGATTTTGATATAGGGGTTGGAATGGAATTCCGGGAGTTGCAGTAGGTCCGTTGTATCATTTTGGATGTGTGTGAAAAATTTCAGGTCATTCGGACGTGGTTTGATAGACTTTTTGATCGAATGCGGAATTTGGGAATTTTTGAAATTCTTAGGCTTGAATCCGATGCAAATTTGGTGTTTTTATGTTGTTTTGAGCGTTCCGAAGGTTGGAACAAGTTCGAATAATGTTATGGGATATGTTGTCATGTTTGGTTGAGGTCCCGAGGTCCTTGGGTGAGTTTCGGGTGGTTGAACGGACCAATTCAAGTTGAAAAAGATTGCAGAAAATTTGTTGTGCGTGTTGTAGACTTTTGGCCTTCGCGTTTGCGAGTGAGCCCTTGCGTTCGCGAAGGGTTAGGATGAGAGGCAGGAGGTTTGGCCTTCGCGTTCGCGATGGGAGTCCCGCGTTCACGAAGGTTTGGGGTCAGCGAGCTTCGCGTTCGGGAGAGGGTGGCCACGTTCGCGATAGTTTGTGAGGCTAAGTCTTCGCGTTCGCGTACAGGGCGTCAGCGTTCGCGATGAAGGAAAAGTGGTCAACTAAAATTTGTGCTTCGCGAACGTGAGGCGTTGACCACGTTCGCGATGAAGGATTTTTAAGTGCTGGGCAGAATGTTTTAAAAGTCCAATTCTGCGATTTTTAGCCTAAGTTTCACCATTGTTGGGAGATTTTAGAGCTTTTTGAAGAGGATTGAAGAGGGAATCAAGGGGGAACACTTGGAGGTAAAATTTATGGCCTTAATACATAATCCTAATGTGAATTCTACCTAATTAATCATGAAATTTGTGGAATTTAAGCCTAAAAGTTAGGAGTTAGGGCTTGGAAATTTGAGACCTAAATCTAGGGATTTGAGGGGTCATTTGTGGTCGGATTTTGATGTATTTGATATGCATGAACTCGTTGGAAGACAAGGGTTCCATTGATGTTAATTTTTTTGGATTCCAAAACGTGGGCACGGGTGTCAGGTTTGGTTAATTTCGGGATTTGTGTCGTAATTTGAATATTTTCGCATGGGCTTCGTTCCCTTAGCATATTTTGACGTCATGATTCCGAATTTTGTTAGATTCGACGCGAGTTGAGCCCGAGACGAGAGGCAAAGGCATCGCGGGCTAGAGATTGGACCGGA